TATATTTAGAAGAAGAATCAGTCATTCTAGGTCTCTGAGCTTTTGATGAATTGAATAATCCCTACATTTCTCTTAAGAAAAAACATATTCATTGAGGATATTTCAGGAGTTATTATGAAATGAGTGAGTTTAGCAAATCCAGAGTTGTCATTCAGCAGATCAATCCTTTGGGGATTCAACTTTTGTTGAATTAACTTAGAGTCCCCTCAAAGATCCCCAGCTGTGCTGAGGTTCAGGCGTAGTCAGGGGTCTAGGATACTGAGGATGGGTTGGGAAGCTGCGTAAGGATCCGGGCGTGGGATGTATCTCCCAAGTCCTAAGGAGGCCAAGGGTAGCCCTTTCTCTGTCCATGTCCAGTGGGGTCTGAAGCCTGCCAGCCATTTCATTCCCAGGGAGAGAGCAGCAATTACCACTCTTATAAAGATGTGAGACCTATTCTGTTGGGTGCTTCAAAAAGGAGGGTAACAGTTTGCAGTTGAATTGGGAGAAGTGGAGACAGACTGAGCTCTCAGAGGAAACCACTGTATGTCTAGCTCCCCCTCACCTAAGATGGGACTTCCCCACTGAAAACCTCCTTTCTCCTGGGTGACCTCCTCTGTGACTGCCACAGCTCTGTTGCTTATGCAGACTCATATGTGACCACCATTTTGGGCTTTACCCCGACAGCTGAGCAGGTCATGACAGCTCTCAAAAAGTGCTAATGCTCCCAGCCACGGACAGCCTTAGACAATCACAGCCGATGTCAGCTCACACTTTCTGAGTGCTTGCCAAGGAAAAGTCAGTGTCCTCATCAATCTCTGGGCACTATCTTCTTTAATTCTCATGACAACCCTATCAGATAGGTATTATTATTACCCTCAATTTACAGATGGGAAATTGAGACCAAGAGATACTAAATCATTGCTTGAAGGCTCACAGATGCTATAGGGTTGATCTGAGCTTTGAAACCAGGCAGGTGGACTCCACACGTTCTGCCTCCTTCGGTTAGCAAGAAGCACTTGGTTTTATTACCTGGAACGTATCTGCTGCCAGTGCAATCTTGAGGTCAAATGTTTACAGAGAAAATGAGGAAGTAAAGGAAGCGGTATTCTTATCTGTGGCCTGTTCTGCGCTTGTTACAGATGTTCAGACTGGACCAAAGGTATTTAAATGGGCTCTGGGTCTTGCGGCCAACGTCAGATGAAAACCTGTGGTTCTCTGCTGAATCAAAAAGGAATCAATCAACACTGCAGGTTCTGAGGAACTCCTCTGAGTGTCAAACCCCAAGGGAAACACCAGACAAGGGCTTATGCTTTCTTTGTTGGGTTGCCAGACAAAATTCAGGCTCTCTCATTATATTTGAATTTCAGATAAATAATAAATATATTTTTAGTATAAGTATACTCCAAGAATTACATGGGATATACTTTTATTGAAAAATTTTGTTGCTGTTTATTTGATTCAAATTTAACCAGGAGTCTTGGGCTTGTTTTTTGCTAAATCTGGCAACCTGATTTCTTTTGGGAGACAGCTCACAACCCAACAGTGTGTTAATAAGGACAGAGTGAGAAGTACAGATAATGAAACCATTGGAGAAAGGAGAGTTCTGGATTTACGTCCAAGGAGGTAACATGATCTCTTGGGTAACAGACTCAGTCGAGGGTGATTTGGGAAGAGAAAGCTTCTTGGAAGAGACGGTTCCAAAGGTTAGGTGGGAAGGATCTGGAAGAGCAGATAGGGAGGAAGGCTTAAGGCACATGTGGGGTCGGCGAGCAGACAGTGAAATGTCTAGAAGAGACTTCATGCTGGGAGCAGCCATGGGTGGAGGATCAGTCTGTGGAGGATCTTCAATGTCCTGCTAGGGATTTGGGATAATGTCCTTTAGACAAGGATGAGTGACCAATTGAAATGGTGTTTTAGGAAGGTCAATCTGGCGAAGGCATTTAAGGTTGGTGGGAATGGTAATTGGGTGGGGAGCTGAGCATGGGGTGGTGGGGGTCTGTGGGAAGGTAAGGGTGACTGGAGGGACACTCCAAAGCAATGGCCTCATCTTTCAGGTAGGATAGCCAGGTGCCCATCAAGATGATAGGTGGCCAAAAGTGGCTGTCTCTTATCAAGTGGGAGACTGGGGCCTTGCTGGGAGCTGGGGAGGATAAGGCAGCCATGGTGCAGAATCTCAGCGGGAAGGTTTTCATGCTGGGGCATTCGCAGAAGTCTGTCACCATAGGAAAGGAGAGTGAGGGTCACATCAAATTTTATTCCACCCCTTTCTCTGCAACACAAATGCACATGCACACACACATGCACACTCACACACACACACTGTGTGCTCGTTAGGTTTCTGTCGATTTCCATGGAAAGTAAACTCCTGTTTTAACTCTTCAAATAATATTTATTAGGGATGCGATTTCAGTTGTTGTTTTGCTTCCCTTGCAGTCAATCTTTTAAAGCATCCATTCCACCACCAAGGCTGCCACCAGCTCGGTGTGTGACCCGTTTTCTGGGACAACCACTATTTGTGAAAGGCTTTGAGGTCCTCTAGAGAAAAGCACTGCAGCAGCCAGGACAGACTGCTGTGCCGCTGGCTCCTCCCCAGCTCTGGCTCTGGGGTCAGGCTGAGCCTGAAAAGCCCACTCAGCTGTTCTACGTTGTCCCAGAGGAGCTCCCTGGGCGAGAAAGGAGAGGCCCAGACTTGCTGGAAATAGAAACAGGTCCAGCCCTTTCCTGGGACTGGGTGGTTCAGGACAGACCCACAGGGGCAGGGCAGGAGGGAGGAGGCTCTTCCTCCAGGTGCTGGGCCCTGGGTACCCTGGCTCTGATCTTCTCCCTGCCCTGGGGTGACTGAGGGCTGGGCTGACAACAAGGGTGACTTTCCAGAATGGCCTGGAGGAAAGGTGTGCCCTGTGGGTCCTGCAGAGTGAGGACAGAAAATATTAACGCCCCAGCAGGTGATCAGATCCTGTGCCAAACACCATGTCCTGCCTCCTGACTGCAGGTCTTGGGCCAGGTGATGCTGCCTCTCCCTGTCACCTGGCTGGGCAGAGGCTCTCAGTGTCTGCCCCGGGGGACTGACCAAGGCCGGGGTCTCTGGCAGCAACAATGATTAGCTTGCTCACATCAGGACAGCTTGACCTCAGCATCAAGGTGACCTTAGCTTCAGTGGTGAGAATGAGGGTGGGGAAAGGCCAAGTGCAGACTGTCCCTTCATCCTCACGTTCACCAGCCACTCGCCCATGGGAAAGACTCAGATTCACCCCATCTACATCTCATTGCCCAGGGGCTACACCGTGCGGCCTCCCAGGGGCCTTACACCAGCCCCACAGACCTGTCGCCTTTCCTTCTTTGGGCAGCCCTGGCCTATGCACGGACTGCGAACCTTTTCCCTGAATACCCTTCCTCCCCTGGCTTCTTGGCCTAATGACCTCCCCCTCATTGGGCAAAACTTGCTCTAAGTCACCTCCCCTGTGAAGCCTGCCAGTTCCTTCCTCTGACACCTTCTTAGTGCTCTTGTCTGTCCCTTTGCTGCACAGAGTGCTCATAAAACCCATTGTGCTGGAAGCTTTGTGCCCCTAGCCCCCAGCGCTGTATGATGCTCCGAAATTGGTCCCTGTCACTTCCCTGACTGGGCCTGGGCCCCCTGAATGCTTGGGGTCTAGCCTGGCTGGACTTCCAGGGTCTCTGGGAGGCAGCGTCTAGCAGCTGGGGCTCTGAGCTCCCTTTGGCTCCCGGCAGCCTCTTCAGGGGGAGGCTGCTGGCCAAGCACAAAGTGCCCAGACTAGTGCCCCCGCGACCACCTGTGGCTTTTCTCAGCCCCACGTCCTCCTTCCCTGGTCCTCCTCTGCGGCACTGGGCACCTCCATTATCCCCCAGCCTCCTTCACTGGCCGCTCCCTGGTGCAGTGCTGCCCTTTCTTGCCGAGTCAGCCTTCGGCTAATTGCCAACAGCTGGGCAAGATTGCCTTCCTGAGGTGAGCTTGGGGGCCAGCTTTGGGAGGCTCTATCGGCGGACTTTGGCAGCTCTTCCTGCAGTGAATGTCAGGGGAGACATCCCAGCCAGGTCTTCTAGGGGGTGAAGTGGGGAGGAAGGCCCAGCAGACTGCAGGGAGATGGGGAATGTACCTGCGGGGGACACCTACTCCCCAAGCCTTTCTTTAGAGCAGTTGTTCTCAGTGGAGGCAGGGTACAACCCACCCCCCACCCCCCCGCCCCAGGCATTGGGAAATGTCTGGAGATGTTTTTGGTTGTCACAGCTGCCCAGGGAGGGGAGTGCTCCTGGCATTTGGAGATTGGAAACCCTGCTGAACTACAGGGCCCAGGACAAGCCCCACAACGAGGACTCTCTGGCCCAAAGGTGAGAAACCTTCCTCTAGAGAGAAGGGGCTGCGGCTGGCTGGAAGAGGAGGGTGCCCGTTTGAGGTGGGCTCAAGTGGGCTTCTGTGAGTCCGGGGGATGGCGTGCCTCGGGCACATGTGCAGCCTCCTCTGTGCCCTCCAGGGGTGCACGTGGCCACTGTGCTCCCTGCGCTGGCCCTGCTCCTCACTGTCCACCCCCACTGCTTCCTCCACAGCTGGGGCTGGGGGCTACTTCTACAGCCAGTGGCTATTAGATGCAGAGAAAAGCTCTGAACTCCTTTCTTTTGTTCCATATCAACCCCTAGTTCAGAGGGGCAAGGAAGCAAGGGCTTTCTTACCATTTTTCCAAAAATGCTATCCATAAAGGAACCTTTTCCTTTTATTCCTATATGATGATAGCAAATGATAATGATAAATAAAAAACCTAGGATGCATAGCAATCACGACCATGCATTGATTGCTTATTTTATACCAGGATCTTGCACATACATGGTATTTTATCATCTCCCAACAACCCTATGAGATAGGCATTACTATTACGCAATAAAAAACAGCTGAGGTCTGGACTGGTTACATAACTTGCCCAAGTCACATCCATAGAAGGGGTGGCGCTGGGATTGGGATCAAGACTTTGGCCCCAAATCTGTAATAAGAACACCTCTGAAGATTTCTCTTACAGGAAGTCAGCCTCACAGAGGAACCTTTTAAATGAAAAGGACTGCAGGGGCTCTTGTGTCTCCCTCACCTGTGCAGTACAGGTAGGGGGACCAGGTATGGGTAGGGGGACCAGGGAGAAGCTTTGGGCGGCACTGTCCCGAGGGGATGAGGAACCTGAGCTCGGGGAAGTTAAGTGACCCACACACAGTGAAGGGAGCTGGGCTTGAACTCCCCTTCAGGTAACCAGGGGGCAGGGAAAGAAGAGGCTAGTGGAGGACAGAGCTGATTCTTGGGAGGAGGTGACTAATAATGAGTCAGCCTTGGTGGGGGAAGGGCCCTCTTCCTCCTCCCAGGCCTATGTCCTAACTTTGGGGAGGCCCGGCTGCCATAGCCTGGGGTTAATTAAGCGGCCTGCAAGGAAGGCCCAGGGTACCCCTCCCAGGGAGCAATGGGCTGGCTCTTGCTGTCCAGGCGTCCATCCGGGGAGCTCTTGCTGGGCTGCTGGCTGCTACCCGAGTTTGGAGGCTGCAGGAGGCAGGCAGTAAACAGGAAATGGTTAAGTAAGAGCAGGTGGAGCATGCTGGGTGCTGGAGCAGAGCAGGAAATAGCTGAGCAGCTGAATGGACTCAGAAGAATGCTCTGTCCTCCTCCCCAAGGCTTTGGCAAAGGCGCTGTCTGCCCACTCCTCCCAGCCCTGCACTGTGAGGCGCAGAGCCCTGAGCCCAGCAGTAGCCTCACCCCCCAACCCCTCTTCAGTTCTGCTGGGGCTGGGGGAGGTGCTGGAGGAGAGGGCCCCAGGGCCCCAGGGCCCCAGGAAGTCCAGCCAGCACTGATGGAGCAAGAAGGCAGGAGTTCCCTCTCTCATAGGGCTGGAGTCAGGCCCATCTCCAGTGGCTCCAGTGTGAGGGGCTGGGGGTGGGGAGGTAGGCAGGCTGTCCAGGCCCAGAGATTGTTTCCCTCTTCCTAGTCCTTTGCTTCCTGGAGGGCCCTTTGTGTCGACTGGGGCTCCCAGGAATGTAGCATCCTGGTGGAGCTCAAGACCAGGACCAGGACTACAGCAGGAAGGCTGGGTGCACAGGTGGTCTCTCCTCTGTTCCCTTTGCTCCTTATAGCAGCAAGTGCCCTGAACGGGATTGCACTGTCCCCTGAGGAGATGAGGTTCCTGAGCTCGGGGAAGTTAAGTGACTCACACAGTGAAGGCTGCTGGGCTTGAACCCCCTTCTGCCTCCAAGCCCTTCCCAGATCTTCCCTCTGCATCTCGGTGCTGCTCCTGTTCATGGAGATTTGTTTGCTTGTCTCAGAGTACAATCAGTGGTGCTCTGGGCACGCTCTTGTCCCCTTTGCAGGGGACCTAACCTCATGGGCAAACAGAGCTCTGCTTCCTAGGGTTTCCTTACAAGGGGGCTTCCTCTCTGTACAGCAGATGGTCGTGTTTCTCTGCACTTGAAGTGTCACTGACACATTGCTGTCTGAGGGTGCTGAGGCTTCCCAGTGTGAACCCCCTGCCAAGGCCTCAGGAGGCAGGGTTCCCACGTCACGGGCACCTGAGTGGTGTGGGGACACTGATCCCAGGCAGGGCCTGTTTCCAGTTTGGCTGTTGCTTGTTCCCCAGCACATGGCTTCTGGGAGCATCAGTGCTGCAATGGGGAGCTAATGGCCTTGACTCCTGCCTGAGTGGGGTGACTAGTGAGGAAGAAGCTGTGTGCACAGGTTTTCTCAGCCGCAGTGGACAGCAAGGGTAACTCAAGGCCCAAATAATGATAACAACCCAAATTTATTGGTTATTTATTATGTTCTATGTATTTATAGTCAGTATATATTCAAGTATGTATATGTATTTATTTAGAAATGTATTGACTCATATAATCCCTACAGCAACCCAAAGAAGAGGTACTTTGATTATTCCCATTTTAAAGATGAGGAGACCGAGGCACAGAGAAGGGAAGTAACTTGCCCTACAAGTAGGGCAGCAGTGGGTTCAGGTACTCTGAATTCAGACCTGGACAGCTGGCACCAGGCCACACTCTGGCTACTACAGTGTATTGCTTGTACAGGGAACCCTTTGAGGAAGCCACATCGGTTCCCTTTGATGTCCCTCATGAGATTCCTATTGTTTGGGAGAAATTCCTTTTCTCTTAGGAGCCAGAATTTCGTGAGCGTCTTCACATAGTGTCTGTCCAGAAATCTCAGCACCTCTCCAGGCTGGGCTGTGAGCAGAGCATTCCCACTGCTACTGTCATGGGCCCTGAGGAAAATATGCTGTCAGTTCTGTTCATTCAAGAGCCATGTGTTGGCACCAATTTGGGGCCAGGCCCTGGGCTGGGTACCAGTAGGAGTTGGCTAAAGTAGATATATACCCTGGGGTGTTGGAAGTAGGGCAAGAGACAGTCACTTTGTCTGTTGATCAATTGTGGTGATGCTCAGACAGAGGGAAGCATGGTGGCAGGGAGTAGAGTCACTCAGCCAGCCTGGGAAGTCAGGGAAGATGTCCTGCGGTGACCAGGCTTAGCTGAGCCTTGAAGGATGATCCAAGTTACTCAGGAGAAGGAAAAGGGCCAGGGCTGGGGGCAGAGACAAGGCTTTCCAGGCAGAGGGGACAGTGCAGTTGGGGGCAGGGAGGCCTGACATTGCAAAATTACAAAGCAGAGACCAGAAGCATGTCAGCATGCCTGGAGGCAGTGTGATAGTAGAGGAACCAGCGAGCTTTGCATCACAGGGGTCTGCAAAGCTGTCAGTGCCCTGCAGCTTTGTCCAGCCTGGCCTGAAAGACCATGGGAAAGAGGAGGGCCTTGCAGAAAAACAGTGTAACTAGGGGGACTCACACTCCCTGATTTCAAGAATTACTGTGAAGCTGCAATAATCAAGACAGTAGAATTGATAAAGGATGGACATTTATAATAATGGAGCAAAACAGAGAATGGAGGCATATACCCACACATGTACAGTGCAAAGGTAATTCATTGAGGAGAGAATAGTCTTTTTTTTTTTTAAAAGGTGCTGGAAAATCTAGACATCCATATGCAAAAAAAAAAAAAAAGGCTTTGCCTAGAGCTCAAAAAGTACAAAAGACAAAAACATAAGAGAAAGTATGAAAGAAAAGCCTGAAAATATAAAAAAAGGAAACAAACGCAGGAGAAAAATCTTTCTGCCTTGGGTTAGGCAAAGATTTCTTAGGTATGACACCAGAGGCATAATCCATAAAAGAAAAAGTTCACAAATTGGACTTAAAATTAAAAACCTATGCTTTTCAAAAGACACTGTTAAGGAAATGAAAAGACAAGCCACAGACTAGGAGAAACGTTTGTAAACCTCTATTTGACAGAGGGCTTGTATCTGGAATATATTAAAAAACTCTCAAAACTCAATAATAAGAAAACAAACAACTCAATTTTTTAAATGGGTGAACATATTTGAACATACACTTCACCACAGAACAAATGTGGATGGCAAAGAAACACATGAAAAGATGTTTAACATCATTAATCATTAAATTAAAAATCATAATGAGAAGCACTCCTTACCTTTTAGAATGGCTAAGCTTGAAAAAAAAATTTAAAAAGGAAAAACTGGCAATACCAAGTTCTGGGGAGCACATGGAACAGCCAGAACTCTCATTCATCGCTGGTGGACACACAAACTGGACCTTTGGAAGAGTTCGGCAGTTTAGCACAAAGTTAAGCATACACTTATCATATGATTCACAATCCTACTCTAGGTATTTACCATGAAAAATGAAAGCTTGTGTCCACACAAAAACCTGTATTGTTCAAATGGTCCCAAACTGGGTACAAACCAAATGTCCTTCAATTGCTACACGAATAGAAAGGCTGTTACGTACCCATAGAGTGGAATGCTGCTCGCAGATGAAAACCCACTGCTGGGCAAGGATGAATCTCAAGTGCACTAGGCTACAAGAAATCAGCCAGACTGGTGACTACATAGGGTATGATTCCATTTATGTGACATTTTGGAATAGCCAAAATGACAGGAGCAAAAGAGCTAATGAGGGTCTTCAGGGGATGGGGCGGGGGGCAGGAGTAGACTGCAAAATATACCAGAGGATTTTCGGGGGTGGTAGCATTGCTTCGTGTCTTAGTTTTGGTGGTGGTTTCATGACTGTGTGCATTTGTTGAAGTTCATAGGACTGTATTTTAAAATGAATGAATTTTACTGTATGTAAATTATATAGTAATAAATCTTAACTTAAAAAACACACACGCACAGTGCAGTTAACAGAAGCTAGTCTTAGAACTATGCTAGCCTTGTAACTATGGTGAGCCATCCTAGGACTGAGAGCTGGGCTTACCTGCCTGGGGCCTGGCTCCTGATCTCAGACCCTGTCCTGCCCCTAGAACCCTGCTCCTTGTGCTTTTGGAGAGCGAGAAAGGGAACCATTAGTGAGCCCCTCCTCTGGGGTGTTGTGGTCCTTTTCATCAACACAGTGCCCCTGGGAGGATGAATAGTTTAAATTGAGGGCGGCTCTACCAGAATGAGAGAAAGAGAGGGAGGGGATGGGACAACAGGAGGGGAGATGGTTACCGAACCACACTCAGAAAACTTTCCCTCTGTCCCAGGTGGAAGAAAGCCACCTGCCAATTCCAATTCCGACTGTAACCTGGGAGGTCTTTAGTCGGCCGAAGGAGAGGTAAGGGGTGAAAAACAAAGATAACGCGGTCCTCCACGTAGGATGCTGGCTGTGCTGGAGGTGCCAGCTGAGACTGTGGGCAAGGGAAGCTGGGCAGGGGTGCTAGCAAACCAGCCAGCTGGGCCCCATGTCTCCTCCAGCTTTCTTCATTTATTCACAGGGGACAGTTCTCCAAGGTATGAAGCACAGGACTGACTGCTCAGGGATGACTCGAGGCCCTGGGAAGATGCTCTGGGGACCAGCCTTCCTGGCCCGGCACTCCTGCACTCCATATTTCAGACAGATGTAGGGCATGGAACTTGGAGACCACAGCAGATCAGTACGTCACGGCCGGGCTCCCCGAGTGCTGGTTGGGCTCTGCTGTCTGGTAAACCGAAGCCGATCATTCATGAATATGCGGGTGTGACATGGTGTAGCAGCTCTGGTTGATGGGCTGTGGGTGACTCACTTCTCAAAGCCTTGAATCAGATCAGTGGTATTTCCTTTGGCTTCCAGTGGACCTAACCCAGACTACCCTGAACACCTGCCTCAGTCGCTGACTCAGAGATGTGGGCTCTGGAGAGCTGTGGGGGTCTGTGACCTACTGCGGCCTGAGACCAGTGAGATAAAGCCACTGTTAAGGACATGACATTTCAGGCTTTATGGAAGGGCTGGCAAGAAGGGAGGCCTGGTCCAGGTGAGAGGGTGTAGACGGCGAGACCACAGAGAGAATGGAGTGCCGTGTGTTGGTTGATGCAAAAAAACCTCAGAGGGAGAAGATATAAAATATGATCCTCAAGCAAGATTAGGTATCTCTTTTCTCTCCCTCTCTCTCCCTCCTCACATGAGATGATGGAGGAGAAGCAAAGCTAGGAAGAGCCTCTGGATAAAGGCAGCCTATGGAAAGGCCAAGGCTTGGGGCCTGCATTGCAGCTGCCTTAAAAAATGACCCCAAATGAGTCCTGACCAGGTGGAGCTCAGTGCTGGTGAACTGAGGGCCTGCTGTGCGGGGCTGTCAGGCAACCAGCTAGCAGGGGCTTCCCACAGCCCCAAGGCATGTGGGCCCCCAGAAGAGCAAAGCAGGAGGACTCTGCTCCTGGGGAAGGTCCCTGAGGGCAGGGTGGAGTCTTGCATTCTCTGTGCCCATCCTGCCTACATGCCTACCTTCCTACCCTTGGTGCATCCTGAGCTTTCTACAGTCTAAGCAAATGCTCATCATGAAGAGAAAGCCTAAGGGGAGGCTAAGACTTAAGAGGAACGTCTGATGAACCGCAGGTCCAAGTGGGAGGTGCCAGGCCACACATAGTATCCTTGTTATGGTTAGGGATGGTGCCCGGCTTTAAGCAAACCCAAGGTACAGGACAATTATTCACTGTATGAAAACACTTTACAAACACTGACCCCTCCTGAGACATCTCAAGTATTTAAATTGCACAATTTAACCCCACCACCCTTCTCAGACAGCTTTTGGGAAACATCTATTGTATGAAATCTATTGTTTTCATGTGAAACGTGCAAATGGCAGTTATTCAACTCCTGGTTCTTGAGGAACATCATGAAGATGAGGGCTTGGGACCTGTTCTGTTCTTTGTCGTGTTCCGCATCTCCTTCTGTGACTTTGGAGGTCTTGTGCCCTGAACAGTGCACTCCTTCTAGATGACACGGGCTGCAGAAAAGGGCACTGTGCTGCATCTGCTTCACTCAGCCGGGGCTGGAAGTTTCCTGCCTCTGCAGTAGAAAGCTAAAACGCCGACTGGGTAGGCTTCCTGCGTTGCGGCACCAGCCCTGGTACCACAAAATGTGGGCATTTGAAGGGACTTAGAGACCCTCGTCTACCCACTTCCTTCTGTAAAAGTCCGAAGGCTGCTCTGTGGCTGTGTGGGGCCTGGGCCACACTGTCACTTATGCTGCTCCCATTTGCTCCCTCCCAGCCACCTGTCAGCACACATTGCCAGGCGTGGTGTAGCTTGCCTCAGACTTTCCCCATCTCCCTCACCGCTTTCCAGGGAGAGGCTTCCATTCTTTATGTTGGACTCCTAGCTGATCCAAGGGGTTGGGGTGATGAGTGCTTTCTGTGCAAGGTCTCTGGGAAGAGTGCCTTTGGCTCGGTGTGCCCCTGGTGGATGGAGTATGGTAAACAAAGGCAGGGCTGAGCTTGTGTAGCCTTACAAAGAAGCTCAGGGTGAGGGTTAACAGGAGGCTGTGGGCTAGGACACAGCACTCCACCTGCTTTTCGGCCCTACACCTTTCCCTCCGTTTCTCAGTCCCCTCTCTGCATGCACCCCTGAAGCTCAGCCACAGCATCCAGATTCCATGGCCTGTGTTCACAACCTTGCCCCGGCCCTTCTAGGCTCATCTCCCAACACCTCCCTCTGCATTCTCCTGTGCTGGCCCCGCCCATCTGCCTAACACACCAGCAGCTGTGCTGGGGTTGCGTGCCTCTGTGCCTTTGCACCTACTGTTCCCTCAGCCTAGGATGCTTGTTTCTCTGGCAAGCTACTCAGCTTTCAAACTCAAATCAAATCCCCCCGTCTGCAGTCTCGCATGGATCCTTGAGCTGTCAGCCTCAAGGAGAGAGGGTTGATCTCATTGCACTGTAATCAATTGTTGGCCCTACTGGCAAGCCCCCCCGCCAGAGTGACCCCCTCAGGGGCTCCCGCTGCATCTGGCAGGTGGTAGGCACTCATAAACTGTCTAGGAGAAAATGAGTGAACGAATGAGCTAGCGCCAGGGCAGGAAAAGGAAACAGAGCCGTGTCCTTTAGGGGAAAACTGCCTTTGAGAACCTGACTCACGATGTCCTCTCTCCAGGGCTTGGCTCTGGGTGCTGCTTCGCTGTCCATGCCCCCAGGCAAACTAACAAGTTCTTCCTGATGCTGTGCCACATGCCCGGCCTCTCCAGGATTTCTTTGTTGCTGCCTGCTTGTGGCTTTTCTGGTCAGTCCAACGCAGGGCTTACACATTTGGTGGGGATTTAATGCCCAAGAAAGCCTGGGAATCGGGTCTGGGTTAAGTCAGGGCAAGGACCTTACTCTCTGCTGTGAGACTGGAAAAATCCACTTAGGGGCTGCAGCAAGAATCGACGGGAAGGAAGGGTTCTAGGGTTTGGGGGGTGATCCCTTGTGTAGTAAGACAAATTTTTGAGTTGAGGTTGGGTGAGAGGGGGCACGGGGCCAGCAGTAGGGATGGCGGGGTGAGTGAGTGAATGTTCAGGGCTGGATGCAGGAAGGAAGGGTGTGGGCAAGGTTTCACCATCAGGGTAGGAGGGAGCAGGGTGCGGGTCACTCAGAGGCCCAGCTCTGCAGCAGCTGAATACTGAGTGCCTGCAAAGATCTGGTCAAAGGAAATGCATCAGGGGAGCTCAGGGGCCAGGACCATGACGGAGGAGCAGAGCAGCATAGAAGTGTTAACCCAGGCCCAGAGGCTGCTCAGGGTACAGGTGAGGACCCCCACGAGAGGCCCAGGGAGCAAGAGAGAGACAGTATGACTTGGCCAGTGTCAGGAATGGGTCCATGAATTTTCCCCTTTCCTCACAAAAGAGCTGCAGGGAACCTGAGGGATTTGGGGCCCACGCTCGGCCCCCACAGTACCCCAGTCCCATGCTGAGGAGTGCCAGCCCCCTCACCTGCCCCCTGCCCCTTCCCCAGCAGTTTATATACTAATAGCCCACAGCTCCCCAGGAGGGGTGAACAGGATCCATTTGTTTTTCCAAAGTTTGACCTCTGGGTAAAACTCTTCCCCCAAAATGTGCGGGTTTAAGTGAAAGCGATAAATCAGCTCCTTTGAAATGCAGAAGCAGCTTGGGGAAGCCCCCTTTGAAATGCAGCTTGGAAACGGGCACTTAAAACCTGGGTTAATTCTCGGCTTTATTGGAGGCAGAGAAAGGAAAGAGGAGGAAATGCAGGGCCAGTCCTTAAGTCTGGGGCACTTGAAAAGCCTGGGGCAGGGGCCCAGTGGCTGCAAAGGGGTCACGGAGGCCCAGCGGCCCTGGGAAACATCCTGGGCCCTGCCGAACTCTAATCCCCATTCCCACCCAGACAGATGAGAAGGGGAGACGGTGGAGAGGAGGGGCGGGTGGGCCGCGAGAGGCTCCCCAAGATGGGAGGCGGTTGTTATGGAAACGGAGCTGGCACAGGGAAGGAGAAAGCCAAGGGCCAACTTGGCAGTGTCCCGAAAGGAGCTGCGAATTCAAGTGAGTGTGTGTCCCATCCACTGGGCAGCCCCGGGGCGCTGCAGCTCCTCCCGGGGAGCCGGGGCAGCATGCCTGCCTGTTACTTTTTTGGGGCCCTGGTCTGGGCCCTTCACTGTAAAGGTCTGCTCCTAGTTGCACCCTTCAGGGTGGCTGGGGCAGCGATGCCCGAGGGCTCCATGCGGTACTCAGATGGGTGGGGCTCTGAGGACACAC